TTATCATTATTTGTAGATGACATGTCACTCTACATAGAAAGAACCCAAAAAAAGTTCATCAAAGTTTACTTGAAAACTATGGTACTCCAAAAAGAGGCAACTGAAGAGGATATCAGAAAATGGAAAGACGGAGGATGGAGGAAAGGGAAAAAAAGAATCAAGATATGTCATGCACAGGTACAAACTCCCTGTGACGAATGCAATCATTATGTATACCTGCGTGTACTTACAAACTTAATTAAAAAACGAGAATGGAAAGAGATCCCTTTTTCTTGGATGGGAAGAACCAACACAGCCAAAAGGCCATACTCCCAGAATTGTTATAAGAATTAATGCGATCCTGATTAAGTTTCCAATAACACATCTCACAGAGTTAGAAAAGAATCCTGGGGCCAGCGAGATAGCTCAGTGGACTAAGCGACTGTTTAGGCGAGCGCAGGGCCCAGAGTTTGATTTGTGGTGCCGCACCTGTGCCCGGCCTCCAAATCCAGGATCATCACGAGTCCAAGCTGTGTAGTGAGACTCCGTACCAAATCCATAAAAAATAAAACAAAATAAAAAATAAAGAATCGGCCTATAACCGATGTCGGCAGGGCTGTGGGGAGGCACGTCTCCACTGCTGGTATGAGTACGGACTGGTGAGACCACTGTGGAAATCAGTGGAGAGTCCTCCAGAGAGTAGGACTAGACGTTCCACTTGACCTAGCTATTCCCCTTTTTGGTATCTACCTGAAAGAATTAAAAGCATTGTACCTCAGTGCTACAGCACACCAAGGTTTATAGCGGCACAGTGAAGCTCCAGTGGCGCAATCGGTTACACACGGTACTCATATAGCGGCACGGATTTTAATAGGTAAATCTTAACAACAACCACCATGGATGTCAACCAATGAAAGGATAAAGAAGATATGGGTTCTCTTATACAATGGCAGAGTACTCCCCTGCCATTAAGAAGGATAAGCTTAGCTGGGTATAGTGGCACACACCTGTAATCCCAGCACTTGAGAGGCTGAGGCAGGAGGATCACTGCAAGTTCGAGGCCAACCTGGGCTACAAAGTCACCATCCCAGGACTCAGTAGTATTTTAAAAACACAAACAAAAATAATAAAATGAAATGAAAATATGACCATGGTCCTAATTCAATCTGACCGGTGTGATGATAAAAGAGATTAGGACACAGGTTCACAGTCGACTTTGCATCCCCAGTCCCAGGAGGCCTTGGGAGACAGCCTGAGCCCTGCCTCTGAGCCCTGGCCGTGGAGCCCGGCTGGCACACAGAGGCAGGGAAGCTCCAGGTGCGCGGGGCCCCAGGCAGCCTGCAGCTCTTACCTCCAGACAGATGACGGAGCCCTGGTGCTCTCGGAATACCCGCAGCTGCTCCCCGCTCAGGATGTCCCAGGCACGGATGGTGGCATCAGTGCTGCCCGTGAAGGCTGTGCGGCCGGGGCTGTCCAGCACCAGGCACAGCACAGCGCCCGTGTGGCCTCTCAGTGTCTGCTGGCAGCAGCCACTGGCCACCTGCCACACCTTGGCCGTGCAGTCAGTGCTGCCAGTCACCAGCAGGCCTCCAGCTGCAGCCTCCTCGGCAGAGGGCTGGTCCCAGGTGGCAGCGTAGGCCAAGGTGAGGACACAGTTGCGGTGGCCCCGAAACTCCCGGCACACCTGCTCCTTGTCCACGGCCCAGACACGAGCAGTCCGGTCATAGGAACTGCTGAAGAGCTGACCGTTGGCCACCAAGATCCTGCAGCGAGAAGTAAAAGTTCAGGGGTCAGAGCACAGAGCGCTGCTAGAACCCAGGCGACTCCCACAGGTGCCCAGAGGGCCAGCCTCCTGCCACACTCATCTTCCAGGGTCAAGGGCAAAATGTCCTCCTCCAGGAAGCTTCCCTGGTGCCCTGCCAGGCACCCCTACTTGACAGAATCCCCTGCTGGCCTCACCCCTACTGCAGCAGAGACCAAGCTTCAGACGCAGCAGGGACCAAGGCCCAGACCTTGTATTCTCTCTCCCCTCATGGCAGCTGCTCCACACTGCTGAGCTGCTATGAAGAAAGCATAACTTTGGCTTGTGTCTAGATCCCTCCGCCCAAAAAAGCCTCCTGCAGTCATAGGTGCAGCTCTCCACAGGTAGCTGGATCTAGTGTGTGGTGCTAGGATTAAGGGGGTATGATTACTAAATCAGTCCACTGACTGGTTTGGCACCATTCCGGCTCAGATTAAGGGCGTGAGTGCTACACCTGCCCTAGAGTATGTAGCCTGCATACAATAGAAGGGGCAGCAAGAGGCTAGTGTGCTCTCGCCTGCCTGCCTGCCTGCCTGCCTGCCTGCCTGCCTGCCTGCCTGCCTGCTACGGACTGTTCCCCTCTGCAATGTGCCTCGCTATGCTGCCCTGCCTTGGGGCCAGCAGATTATGGACAGAACCCTCTATAAACTGCAAGCTAGTAAGCCTTTCCTCTTGTAACTTTGGGAGTCGGGTATTTTGTCTCAGCAATGAGAAAAGATAACTAAGAAATTTAGTACCAAAAGTAGGGCCCAACTGTACTGACCATGCCGTACAGGAGAAGCCTTTGAAACTGTTTGTGGAAAGTCTGGAGAGGCCAGCTGATAAAAACAGCTCTGAACGGCTGGACCTCCGCTTGGTGGAAGATTCCAGGCAGAGCTCAGGAGACCAGAAGACTCATGGGAATCCTGCTGGGAAAGATCAGCTTGGGAAGATTCTGCTGTGAAGGACTGCCCTGCTGTTGGACTCCAGACAACATGTGCTATATACTTTGGCAGAAACTGCGTTTTGCGCATGTCCAGAGAGATTTTATCTGAGACTGAGATTAGGTGTGGCAGATTTAATTGATATTGCAGAAATTTCTTTCTCGCTTGCTCTCTTTTGTCTTTTTGAGATAAGGTTTCACTATGCAGCTCAGGCTGGCCTTGAACTTGCTTCAAGGCTGTAGCTCAGGCTGACCTCAAACTCACAGCAATCCTCCTTCCTCCACCTCCCAAGCGTTGGGACTACAGTGTGCGCCACCATCTCCAGCACTGTAGAAGAAATTTCAAGGCAGCCTAATGTTGAGGTGGTGGCGTGGCTACCACTAGGGGCTTTTAACCAGATTTATATGAAGAATCAAGGAGCCCAACAGAATGACTCAAAACGTTGCAAGTTTGCCCAGAAAGGAAGCTCCAATAAAGCTTCAACCTGCAACGATGGGACAGAAGAAAAACCGGTTGCTGAAAAGACTTGCAAGAAAAAGCCAAGTACTTCAGAAGAAAACAACCGAAAAGATGGCCTGAGGGCACAAGAACCAGCAGGACTGCAGCCTTTGCAGCCTCAAGTTGCAAAGGTGAAAGGCTTCACTTGGAGCGAGGTTCAGAGCTCCGAGCTCCACAACGGAGTGAACTGGAGGATTCCTTCCTTGGGATTAGATTCAGAGTGCTCCGCAAGCCAGGCACTCATTCCCTAGAGCCAAGAGGGCAGAAAGATGTGAACATGCTCTCGCCTGCCTGCTTGCCATGGACAGTCTCTCGTCCTCGAGGCTGTCTGCCATGCTGCCCTGCCTTGGCGCCAGCCAATTACGGAGTGAAACCTCCACAGACTGGGAGCCAAATAAGCCTTTCCTCCTCTAAAGTCGGGTGTCAGGTGTTTTGTGTCAGCAACAAGACAAGGGGAGCACAAGATGGAAGGGAGAGGTGGGCAGCTGCCCCTTCTGCTCTGCCCAGGTTTCTGGGAACACAGGGCTTTCCAAGGAAAATAGGGAAATTCCTGGGCTAAGTGGGACCAGCTGGCCACCGTGGGAACAGCGTGGACCCGCTGGCTGGTACAGGCATTTCTGGGGGCACGGTGAAGAATTCCAGAGCCTTTCTGCCTCACTGGCTCCAGAGTGTCCCCCAGGGGACCAGGGCAAAGCTGGGTAGGCTGGAGTGGATTCTGTTGTCGACCCCCACACGGATGGGATGGCAGCTCCCGGGCACAGGCCCAGTGCGAACACAGGCTGGGACTGGCCAGGGCCAGGAAACTGTTGGGTTGGAGGCCAAGGAGGGTCTCTTGATTTTGCGAAGCTGGCTGACCTCAGGCGCAGGCTTCCTGGGCAGGAAATATTTACGTCTTCTCATTTTACTGAACTCTGTGAACTTCTCCCCACGAAAACAGCAAGCCGTTCAACTTTAGCACAGAACTTCAAAGGCTGTTTGTGCTCCGTCCTTAGGCCCCACACCCCAGGGAGGAAGCCGCTCAGGCCGGCTGCAGCTGCAACTTGGTGCATCCTACTGGTACGGAGCAAGGCCCAGCCCAAGCCAGGACCCTTCTGCACCAGCCCTTGATGGCCTCTGCTACTCCCAGCAGGGCCTGCACCTGCTAGCCCTTCCTCCAAGTGATGGAAATGACAGGAACTGCATGCAGACCCGACTCTCCTGACTGGCTGCTTCTTCCCTGGCGCACACGGGAGATCCAGGGCAGTTCAGGGATGGACCACAGGGCCTGGCACATGCTAGGCAAGCTCGCAACGTCCTGCCAGCCCCAGATGTGCACCGTGACGCAGTCATGATGTTCTGAGACAGCGCTGGGCATGGGGTGGTGGCGGAGTCCTCCGAGCGTGTGACACGGTGTGTGACGACTGCAGGCTACTAAAGGACCAGTGTCCACAGCTCACACACCTGGCCATCTCAGAAACAACGGGAAGGGGCTGGTGAGCTAGCTCAGTGGTCTAAAGCACCTGCTCATGCAAGCTTAGGCAGGTGCAGGGGACGGGGACCACAGTTCGATCCCCGATACCATATGCCATGCCAGTCCCACCCCCAGGGCAGGCTGAGCCAGCAAAGGAGAAACAAAAGAAAACAGAAAGAGGAGGTGGGCTCTGGGTCCTGGCACTTGGGACTCAGATATTTCATCCTGCACATGTATACCGGAATCTGTGAATCGAGACAGCCAGCAAAGGAGGATAGTGTCTAAGTGTGCATGTGCACACATGAACATTTGTGTAAGTGTGTATGTGTGCATGCACCAGGCTGTGCTTCTGTGTTCACACGTATGTGAGGTGTGACTATGCATAGGTAATGTGCTGTGTACTTGTGTGAACACATTTCTCTTGTGCTTGTGTGCATGTGTGTGCACACATGTGTAAACTGTGCGTGTGCACATGCCTGCATGTGCGTGCCTTGGACACTAGACCCGGCAAAGTATAATTTCCAGCAGGTAAGAGTAGACCAGGCTGGCCTTGAACTCACAGCAATCTTCCTGCCAGTGTCCTGACTGTGGGGATTACAGGCGTTCCCCACCATGCCCGGCCTGCTCCTGTTGCCCACGCGCCGTCAGAGCCCACACAGCAGCCGGATCCCTGGCTGTGGCATGTCCTCTTCCCTGTGCCTGCTCAGCCTGGCTCTGGGGAAACCTCCCGGGCAGGGCTTTTCTACCAACATGGCCTTGAAGGCCCCCAGGCCAAAGCTCCCTTCCGGGATGCTCTTGGGAGCCTGGGGAGACCATCAAAGGTCACGTGGGGTGTCAAACTGACCTGGTCAGCAAAGGCATTTCAAAGACCTGGCTCTCCCCCAACTGAATAAGGAAAGGAAAACTCGACCTACAGAAGGAGCACTGAGGGTGCTGCCAATAGCCACGTGGAAAGAGAGGCTAAAAATACCCTTGCCTGCATCTTCAGGGCAGCGTCCTTGCACGCACAGTCCGCTCCTGGGTACCAATGTGCAGCCCCCGGAATCTGTCCCCATCAGCAGGCAGGGCACATCTCACACCCAGCAGGGACAAGCATGGGGCCAAGCTCTGAACAGGACTACCAGCGCAACTCCCCACTGCTCCTCCCAAGCCCCAGGCAGCCTGGGGCACTTGGCACTTGGGCCTGCAGACACTTCTGTCCTGGGCCTCAGGTGCTTGTGTGCTCCTTCCCACTTATTGAGTTCCCCAGAGAACCCACATTCCGGGCCTCCATCCCCCTCTGGCTGAGGCCTAGCCCACCCTGCCTGCCAGGCTGACCTGTTGACAATGGACGTGTGTCCCCGGTACACCTGCACACACTGGCCCGTCTGCACGTCCCACCTCCGGATGGTGCAGTCAGCGCTGCAGGTGAAGGCAGCTTCATCCTCCAGCTGGCAGAAGGTCACGTAGCTCTCGTGTCCTGCAGGCGAGGTGACATGTGAGTGACCCCTAGGTTTGGTGCCAGCTCCTGCTTTCTTCTGGGAAGATTTAGAAGGAGAGGAGAAGGGCAAGGGGTATAGGATGGGCAGCCTCCGTAGTTAACAAGGTGGGCCTAAGACCCCGGTGCACCCAGAACAGGACACCCACCTGGCCTCCCAAGCCCATCCACTCCTACTCTCCTTTCTTCTTCCGTCTTCCATCCTCTTCTTGTTTGTTTAGTTTTTTGAGACAGGATCTCACTAAGTAGTCCATGCTGGCCTTGAACTCACCTATGCTGCTGAGCCTGGCCTCACAGTGATCCTCCTGCTTCGGCCTCCTGAGGGCTGGGATTACAGGAGCACACCACTATCCCCTGCTCCTCTTTTTAGTTTTCTACAAACTTGGAGCTGTTTATGCTCAGCAAACCAACATCATGGAGGCAGGAGGGAAAGGGGCAGCTGGGCAGGATCTTGGTGCTGTGACTGCCTGTCCTGGGCTCATCCTGCCACCTGTCCCCATGTTGCTAGTCCCTTACTTGAAATGAGGACAGGGACAATCCCCATGGCACATGTCTTCATGCAGATGGGGTCATACTGGCAACACCTGGTGGATGCTATGTGTTAGGGACTTTTCTCTCACATGGAGACACAGCAGAACAGCTGCTGTCAGATCCTGTGAGGTGACAGGACTGTCATCGTCACCTTCCTCAAAAGAGGGGCATGGGGGTGTGACTGGGCTGAGGGTATTGATGGGGGAGGATAAGCCTGGACTGTGATCTCACGGAGAAGCCCACATGGGTGGCCACCGCCAACAGGAGCTGACAGCCACCAAGCAGATTGTCCCCTCCAGGTTTTCATTTGGCCCGGGGACATTGACTTTGGACTTCAGGCTCCAGCAATGGGGCAATAGTAGGCTACACTTCCCATGATAGGGACAGGGGACGGTGGTGACCGTGAGGACGCCTCTAGCCTTCCAAGGACCCAGTCCAGCCAGAAAGAGTCAACAGGAGGGGCCCATGGTCACCAGGCCCAGTGCCCTAAGGGACACGGAGGACACCTAGTTGGGGGCCACACGCTGGGGACATGAGGGGCCTCTCTGGCCAAGCAGTTGGTACTCCAAAGGAATAAGGCTGGGGTCCGAGAACAGAGGGCCACGCAGGGTCAGGGCCTTCCAGGGCAGGGCGATATCGCTTGTTCCTCTCCGGCTGTGGGGATCAGTACTTCCTCCTCGCTTGCCTCAAGCAACCCTAGAAGCCCTCAGGGTCCCCAGCAGCTGGGCTGACCTCTAGGCAAAGATGGGGGAGGATGTGACCTTCTAACAGACCTTCTAACAATGAGTTCTAACACTGAGTACATCTTGGAGAAGTTCAGAGACTAGAAAACCAAAGAATCAAAGCAGTCTTGGAACTATTTTCACAGAAGCAGCAACTAATGAATTCTAACACACACAGCTGGGGGCCCGTGTCACTGTATTCAGGCTATTGTTTTAAAGCCTTTTTGATCTGTGTGTGTGTGTGTGTGTGTGT